AATGTAACAGAGAAAGTTTGTCTTTGAAATATCCCTTGTAGTTAGCCTCTCCATTTTGAATGACCCATGGGTCAACCTCCCGGGTGAAATTATCGAATTCTAGGAAGACTTTCGTCGAGAGATGGTCAAAAGGTATTCGAGCAGAGAGAAGCTACAGTATTTAAGCCGGACGGTTGCAAATGGAACATCTGATTTCGATAATTAGTCCGTAAATAATACAGCATTTTGTATTTCAAATATCAACAGTCATGCTCTCGCTATTTTCGACGTTATGATCGAACGATGCGACCTGCTAAACGTAGAACCGCGAAATTCTCCGCCAACATTGGCGAGAACAAATTTGATAAATAAGGAAAGAGAGACGAACATTTTTGAAATTGTGGCTTCCACGATCAAATTCGGAGGATCGCGATATCATTGTCCGAGGAACGGACGGAAGCATTCGAAGAAATTCTAGAACGAAACACACTGTAGAATCCGCGAAAGCTTGAAAACAGTGGAGCATTCGCATGGGTCTCCGAAAAATGAGAAAAGCGATCGGGAAAAGTCACGAAACCCGCAAAAATGTGGACTTATATCCGGCTTTTCGGTACACGACGGCACACCGTGCGTCGCCGCAGCAGCAGCAGCAGCTTCGTTCGATTACTAATTACTTTTTATTGTTCGTTCGGATCTTGCAATCCCTGGGCGTCGCTGGATCCGCGGACACAGCTGATACGGGTTTTCTAAAGAATTAATTTGCAGATCGGTACGGTGGCCGTCGCGCAAAGGCCGGTGCTCCGATCCGCAAAACGATTGTTCCCGATCCGGCGAACGAATATTTCATTTATCAGATAAGTTACTTGTACCGGGACGAGCTGAAAGAACCAGGCAACGAAAGGCAGACAGAGCCGGGCATCGCGGCGCGCGGCGTAGGGATTGAAAAGGGGGTCGGGCGAGCTGAAAGAGGGTTCGCCGTCGAAATGGAAACTAGGAGGCAGTCTATAACGAAGCAAACAGCTAACTCAAATAACGAAACGAAGTTTTTGCAAGCTGCGATCGGCGAATTCAATCGTGGCTTTTTTGCGCCGATGATACGACTTCGATTGAATTGTGACCGGCGTGTTATTATATAACCCGTGCGCGCCGATGAAACCGATACCGGCGTTCTCTCTCTCCTCCCGTCCTCTCCCCCCCCGCTCATTCTCTTTCTCTTTATCTCTCTTCGTTCTCTCCGTCTATCTATTTTTATTCATATGTCGGATTTATTTAGTTTTATTTCCTGTTGCCCACGTCGCCGTCGGTGTCGCATTCCCGCCGCTCCAAGTGCTGGCAGAATTGTCGCTCGCGTGTGACGTCACGGTTCTCGTTGTCGCTGTCGCCGTCGCTGTCGTAGCCGTGGACATCGTCGTCGTCGTTGTTGTTGCCAGTTGTTGCAGCCCGACCACGTTGTTTTCGGCCCGCGCGAAGCCTCGATTCCGCGGGCGCTAAAGCGCGGCTCACTTGACGCGAAATAATCCGAAGCCGCAACAAATAATCCTGGAATGCGTCGGGAATTATCCTTGCCGCAGCCTCGGATTATCTGGCGTGAAACGAATTATTTGATGGTGTACCGAGCTATTTGACGTTAACCAGGATAATTCGGCCGGGCAGATTATCTGAACCGCGAGATGGACAAACAAGCGGAATTCTCGACCAACCGACCAGCCGACCATGCCGCCGCCGCCAGATTCGCGATCGCGCCGACAGATCTGCTTAGCGAAGAAGCGAAACGCGCGACGGCTTTTACCCGGCGCGTCAACCCCTGTGACACCGCCCTTGTTCCACGAACGCGGCACAGAATCTCTACTGAGTCTTCTTGAAAATACAGCGATGTCTCTCTAATTGGCGCACAGATTGTCTAGAAAAATGGACAATTTAGGGAGAAGAGAGACGATTATTCGATCCTTGCGGTTCATTTTTATAGTCACGAATTGTCAACAACTATAAAAACGAGCGCTGCAAGGCTCGAATAATGGTATCTCCTCTTCCCGAATTGTCCATTTTTGTGCACAATCTGAGGCGTCGGTTAGGGAGACATTACTGTACTTCGACGCCGACCATCGAAACTCCGTCTGTGATATTGAAATCGCTATGAAAATTCTGTCGACTTTAATACGAGCATCCTTTGACCGTTACGTGAAAATCCTTCGGTTTTAATGCGCCCCTCAAAAGTAGCTGCATAAAGCATGCTAGTTTGTTACTTCGTTCATTTTTAAGGGGCGCATTTTATATCCAGAAAGAACTTTAAAGATTCACGGCATCCGAACGGGGAGAGGTAAAAATCTATAACTATCAAGTGTATAGTAATTTCACCTTAATTCGCGCTCAGATTTTCCACAAAAATGGACAATTTTTCTTCGATTATTTTATGCTACCTTATATTTTATACTACCGATCGATGTGAATTATTTCAAAAGAGATGTAAAACTCACGAATAAGTCCTTGTCTGTTGCAAGACGTTGTAAGGCCAGATTTGTGTAACAATTTCGTATAATCGGTCAGTTATTTAATTAACAGAGGAACGCGCGTTGAGGAATTCGGCGCTTCGCCGAGTAAATGTCGCAAAATTCCGATGTTTTCTTCGAGCATAGCGCAGTAATTTCATCCTAATTCGCGCTCAGATTCTCCACAAAAGTGGACAATTTTTGTTCGATTGTTTTATACTACGGATCGATGCGAATTATTTCAAAAGAGATATAAAACTCACAAATAAGTCCTTGTCTGCTGCAAGACGTTGTAAGGCCAGATTTGTGTAACAATTTCGATCAATCAGTTATTCAATTAACAGAGGAACGCGCGTTGAGGAATTCGGCGCTTCGCCGAGTAAATGTCGCAAAATTCGGATGTTTTCTTCGAGCATGCCGCATCCAATGACAGCGTCATGATAATGTACACAGCGTCCAATAGCGGGATCATTAGGTGGGCCAGTGAGCTGTGGTGTTCCGAACTGACGTCAATATGTTTCAAATGGAACAATTATCTCGACATCTTGTTTGACAAATATGGCGTACGCGGCGCGGTATGTTGCCGAGCGATGCCGCCCGCGTTATTCCCGCGTTATAGGGTTGTGATTTCCAATGAAAATAACTGGCGGCGAGGAAGCCGCCTGTTCCTTCGGAATTCAACGTCCGCTCCTCCGGAAAACGGAGCACCGGAGAGAACGACCGGTAACATTTGCTATTCTTCTCCGGCGACGTCGTCGCGCGGACTTTTTCATTCGGGCGCAATCCGGGCCGGTATTAATAAATTAATCGACCGGGCGCACGATCGTTCGCGAGCAAAGAAACGACGGCGTTCGTCGCCGGTATTTTCCTGCGCGGATGTTTCGGTTAGCGAAACCAAACGTTGGACGCAGCAAGTTTATCAGAACATAACCGGCGAACCAAGTAGTCGGGCATTCGTGAAATTTATATGAACCGTGTCCGGGAACAGGAGGAAAGATCAGCGAACGGTCGCCGGGCCGAGCCACTTCCACGTCGGATAGTTCCACAAGAAAGTTTATAATTGGTTACCCGACGGAGTATGGTATAATTTTCTCGGAGTCTAAAATTTCCTGTTTGGATGCTAATGCAGTCCGAGCGGTGCTCCAGGTGCGGTGAATCCTTAACGAAATAGATTTCTTCGGTGTTAACGCGCTCGCTCGGGCTGCTCCGTCGGCCGGAATTATAGTTTTATATCGTCCTATAAACTGGACGCGGGACGCTTTACTATCCTTGTCGCGGGTACGGCGGTTTATTAAATCAATTAACCAACGCGCGAACGGCAATGCAAATAACTCAATTTGCCGATATGAATATGAGAACGAACCTTAGGACCGGCCGATCGAACCAGCGGAATTTTGTCGGGTGAATGTGTTTAGAACGGACGCACACTTGCGCTTTAACTGTTCGATATCGACGACTGACCAGTAATTATTCATTTACACGTAAACAACGGCAAAGTTGCTTGCGGGACCTTTCGTCTGACGTTTGAACGACAGTCCGGCGAGACTGTGCCGGGACCTGATCTTTAGGACCTGTTCTTTTCCAATTCGCGTGCGATGAGAATCTCCGAAGTAAAAGCAAATGTGTTAAGAGTTTTTGCAAACTATAGTATGCGCAGATTTCGTATGTTGTAAATACATTGCTAATTCGAATCATTCTTTAAAGAGTGATTTAACGCGCAGACCAATTTTGAGATCTGTCAGACAATTCTGTGATTCTTAACGACTGTGAGATCTACATGCACGAAAATTTGCTGATTTCCAGAAAATTGATAAAAGCATGTAATAAAATCTTATTATATAATATCATATATTACAGCCTATTATTATTATTATATTTTTGCCATATATTACAGCCTAATTTAAAGACCGTATTGTATACCTATAGACCAGTATGTGAAATCTACATGCTCAAGAATTCTGGGGTTTCCAAAAAACGGGGAGAAGCGGAGCTAAGAAATTATACATCCTGATCGAAATTCTGTCTTCCAAATCTAAACACTATGAGATCTCTGAGCGTACAAAAGTTGTACACTCGGTATGTACAAAAGTTGCTTGTTTGCCAGAAAAGTGATAGAAGCAGCCTAAAAAGTTATACAGCCTACGCCAAAGACTGTGCTGCAGATATATAAAAGACTGTACGATCTATACAGAAATAGCACGGTCCATCTAAAGGCTACAGAACCTATAAGAACCTGCTGACCTGCGAAAAGATTGCGAGGCCTCTGTGAAAGATGTTCGAAAGCAATGAAAAAGATTACGGGTTCCGCGAAAAGAAGTTACAGAAGCTAAGTGTACATAAAACGGTGAAGACGCCGGAAAGATCGCGGCAGGGGCCCGAAAACAGGATCAAACTCATAAGAGACTCTCGAGGACAGTTGAGCGGGTGTGTTAGGTCGAGTGGGCAAGTATCTAAAACCGCCGTAGGCGGGCAAATACCGCGGCGGGTCCCTGTGCGGCTCCCTCGGAGCATATAATAAACAAAAGCTCTCGTTACCTTTCACTCCAACGTGTCCGTCGGGCTTCTTCTGTCCGGTCTGGAAGTTCGGGGGCGGTTGCACATAGTTGTTGCCGACGATAGTTGCCGCGGGCTCGTAGTGTATCACCCTGGGCCTGTCCTCCTCGGTGCTGACCTCGGTGCTCTGCCAGTAGATGTCGTATATGGACGCGCTGCACCGGACCCTCAGCTTGCCCTCGGCGTTGAAGTGGTCGTGCGTAACGCTGAACTGAAGGCCGATCTGGGAGATCTGCCATTCGGACTCGTTGGTGTCGAGGGGGCTGTACGTGCGGACGTAGAACTTCGGCGGCTGCACGTGGTCCGGGCCGACAGCAACATCGGGGCGCCGCAGAGCATGCCAGAGGGTGGCAGAGCGTGTGGCGCAGCATGGCGGAGAGGAGCATGGCAGGGCATTGCGATAGAGATCGGTTAAAGAGCCGGAATCCCGGTGATCACGCGGAACGCCTGTTAAAATTCCCCGGCTGCCGCCAAAGCCGACACACCGTCAGCTCCGCGCGTTTCCACAGGGACGGCCTGCGCCGACGGCGACTTAATTCCGCTAATTAATTCGGTGAATTAAGCCGCCGCCGCCGCCGCCGCCGCCACCAGCGACGTTTTAAAGGACAAATTTCCACGATTAATCGGACCTTCCGGTCGCCAAGCCCGGAACTCGGCCCCGCAGCTAATCTCGCTTGTTCGACGTTTAAGGATTGTTGCTTTAACCCTTTGCGGCGGCACCCCCCTGTCTTGCCGTTAAACGCCACGGCCGAGATTACGGTTTTTCCCGATGGCTTTTTCAATGGCGGTGCTTCGGTATCGATGGGATCGCGCGGTCAAGTCATTTGCCGGGGAAATTTTAGCCGGTGATATTCGAGCGGCTATGAAACGACCAATTGGTCTTAGAAGAGAGATCGGGCTGTTCATTTGGCTGGATTGAACGCGTCCGGGATTGGCGCGGGGCTAGCCGACGGAGTTGAAATTAATGGAAGAAGAGACCGCGCGTGATCGTGTAACGATGCAACAAACTTCGCGGGGTTTCTAATTGTTTGTATTTCGTTCGAACGCGGAAATCGTTCGGCCGTTTCGTTAACCGTGAGAAACTTCATGTTTCCACCGCGATCGCGCAGGTATTAACCCGAGAAAGATAACCTACGTCGCAGAGGCGCCTGCGAAGACTGTTGATTTTTGTTAATTTTTCATAGAGGTCTAGTGATTTAAGTTTAAAATTACTTAAAATATAAAAAAATATAATATAAATGCATTTTATTTTTACAATAATGCCAAACCTTTAAAATGACTAGATTAACTTAAATAAATATCCATTGTTAGTATAAAATTGACGCCTTAGAAAAGCATGCGCCTCTGAAGCGTATGGTTATCTTTTACGTACGTTGTCATATGGTTATCTTTCTAGGGTTAATATGCCGGACGATCGATGTTCGAATAGGCGTGATAAAGTGCAAACGTGATTCGCAATTAATTAAGGAATCTTTTCTCCGCGCGCGTGGCAACGCGGCCGATTCGCGGCGCTGCCCTTTTTTTCGACGGTGACAAACGCCGGCGGGAACGCCCGGTAAGAAATATCCCTCGCTAATTGCTGATTCGATTAGAATTTTATCGCGCGNTGGCAGAGCGTGTGGCGCAGCATGGCGGAGAGGAGCATGGCAGGGCATTGCGATAGAGATCGGTTAAAGAGCCGGAATCCCGGTGATCACGCGGAACGCCTGTTAAAATTCCCCGGCTGCCGCCAAAGCCGACACACCGTCAGCTCCGCGCGTTTCCACAGGGACGGCCTGCGCCGACGGCGACTTAATTCCGCTAATTAATTCGGTGAATTAAGCCGCCGCCGCCGCCGCCGCCGCCACCAGCGACGTTTTAAAGGACAAATTTCCACGATTAATCGGACCTTCCGGTCGCCAAGCCCGGAACTCGGCCCCGCAGCTAATCTCGCTTGTTCGACGTTTAAGGATTGTTGCTTTAACCCTTTGCGGCGGCACCCCCCTGTCTTGCCGTTAAACGCCACGGCCGAGATTACGGTTTTTCCCGATGGCTTTTTCAATGGCGGTGCTTCGGTATCGATGGGATCGCGCGGTCAAGTCATTTGCCGGGGAAATTTTAGCCGGTGATATTCGAGCGGCTATGAAACGACCAATTGGTCTTAGAAGAGAGATCGGGCTGTTCATTTGGCTGGATTGAACGCGTCCGGGATTGGCGCGGGGCTAGCCGACGGAGTTGAAATTAATGGAAGAAGAGACCGCGCGTGATCGTGTAACGATGCAACAAACTTCGCGGGGTTTCTAATTGTTTGTATTTCGTTCGAACGCGGAAATCGTTCGGCCGTTTCGTTAACCGTGAGAAACTTCATGTTTCCACCGCGATCGCGCAGGTATTAACCCGAGAAAGATAACCTACGTCGCAGAGGCGCCTGCGAAGACTGTTGATTTTTGTTAATTTTTCATAGAGGTCTAGTGATTTAAGTTTAAAATTACTTAAAATATAAAAAAATATAATATAAATGCATTTTATTTTTACAATAATGCCAAACCTTTAAAATGACTAGATTAACTTAAATAAATATCCATTGTTAGTATAAAATTGACGCCTTAGAAAAGCATGCGCCTCTGAAGCGTATGGTTATCTTTTACGTACGTTGTCATATGGTTATCTTTCTAGGGTTAATATGCCGGACGATCGATGTTCGAATAGGCGTGATAAAGTGCAAACGTGATTCGCAATTAATTAAGGAATCTTTTCTCCGCGCGCGTGGCAACGCGGCCGATTCGCGGCGCTGCCCTTTTTTTCGACGGTGACAAACGCCGGCGGGAACGCCCGGTAAGAAATATCCCTCGCTAATTGCTGATTCGATTAGAATTTTATCGCGCGCCCGGTCTTTTTTATGGCACGCGTCACCGGCTCTTTTTTTTTGTTCACAGTTTCGCAATTCCGAAACGGATTTATACAGGGTGATCCTACGAACTGGGACGGCTATAACTCTTTGTTGAATGGGGATAGAAAACAAAACAAAAATTGGCGGGCAAACAGAGATACGTTCCGAAATACAATTCTAACGGGCCGGAAAGATTTTTTTTTCCTAGACCGGCTCGAAAATTCCAATTGCCCCGTCGCGCGCGACGGAAACCGAGCGCGGCCGGCAGAAAGATGTAAAAACTAATGAAAATGGACCGTTTACCGGTGTCAAATTTATCCGCCGCCATGACAGCCGGCCGAACGCGCGCACGGTCCGCTCTAATTTTCTAAATAACTGAACGTAGACGGGGAAAATTCAGTCGTCGTGGTAAATTGAACCGCGCGACGGCGGAACTTCGAAATATAAAGAGACAAAGGTGCGCAGGAAACGACGCCGAATTCGCGACAACGTAAATATATATGTGTGTGTGTGTGTTCTCTATACACGAGAAAGTGTTTTCCTTACAAAGGACAACAAACTTCGCCGCTAATGTCTGAATTTCCGTGGGTCCCGATGGAACAATATTTGGCCCGCAGAAGGTTAATGCGTAAGACGGGGAAAAATCCTTCGTCGTCGGCGTCGTCGTTAAATCCCGCATCGGGTAACGAGAGCTTGTACAACGCTGTTATTCGAAGCGCTGTCACCCCAGGCTGAAGCAAAATATTTCCTTCTTTTTCAAATAGCAATCCTGTTTTAAGAGCGAGCTACTTCCGCGGCGCCGCATTATGCCTGCTCCATAATCTGCACGAAGACTAACAAGACAACCTCGGCAGACCGATACACGTCGATTTTAACGAAACCGTGCTAGTGCGACAAATGTATATTGTTTTATAAGAATGATAATGGACGCTGGAATAAAAAAGATGATCTTAAATTTTGTCGTGGAAACATTTTTACGATATCGTGTATAGTGAAACGGAGAATCGGAAATCAGATCTTTCAAGAATTTAATTGTATTTTATTTGTGCCCATTTTGTACTTTAACGCTAAGTTTACGGAACGCGTCGTTTCCAGATTGTTTAATTTACGATTATCGAGATTACAAAGATGCATTCAGGAGAAATTTATTCAATGAAGTTCTATTGAACATATGCTATGATAAAAATCGGTACAAATCTGAATAATACTTGGCTTGTTATTTTTATGAAGCACTGTAAAATAGTAATCTATTAATAATAATTTCTGGTGCTCCTTAAGCCTAGTATCAAAGGAGAAATCAACCCTTCTATCCAAATCTGTCCTTCTACCTAATGGTTTATTTGTCGCAAAGGGCGGAAACTGTCCAAAAATGTTAGAAACAAAAGTTACATCGTATTTTTGGACGCGTAAATTTCTGCGAAATTTTATGGAGAAAGTTATGTCACTTTTAAGACACACCCGACCGCGAATACATTCGACGAAAGGTTGTCTCGTTCGTCTTGGAAAAATAAAACCGCGGGCAGCATCGGCTGGTGGAGAGATTAAAGGATAAATTCGCTAATAAAAGTAATCGAGGGAGGTTTAATTCGTGGAGCCGGGCGAAGAAGCGCGCATTTTTATTCGGTTGTTGCATAAATTCCGGCGGCTTTCCATTAAACAGAGAGACAAATTCCCATTCGTCCCGGGGAAAACTTTCGTTCGAAATGAAATTCTTAATACAATGCATAAAGATGAGTCGGCAAATATGGCGTGCACGACCGGGTTCAAAACTTTTTATATAACGTCGGCCAGCTGTCTGCTGCAATTCTTGGTCAACAACCACGAAGTCCCCGTCCTGTTAATATTTTTCCGCGCGGCGGGAATGAATAAGCGACGGTATCGGACTGGCAAAATTAATGTGAAATAGGTAGAACACCACCGGCGGAGTTCACAACAAGTAGAAACAGCCAGAACTGGCCAGACACGACGTTGGCCAACTGTCATGCAGTCGCGCGCGTGCTGCATGCATTTTGCCGCACATTTATCTCAACTCACTTTTGGCAATTCGATACTTTTGTGGACACATGTGTCCGGAATGGCTATTAAAAACTAATAAGAAATCTTTCATTCTTTGCCCACAACCATTTCCGACCGTTGGTTGGCGTTATTGTAACTATGATCTTCGAGCAAACTCATCTTTGAATTATAATCTTTCAATGGGATTATTTAAAAAAAATATTTTCGTTTTCATTATCTCGAAGGAAATTAGTCTCAGGAAATTTATCTTTCTGCAACACGTTACCCTCTCATTTACAAGAGTGCCACAATTAACACGTTCGCTACAATCGCCTATTTTGATCATAATGAAGATTAATTATTTATTCTAAATATAATGATTTTTTGAATTAACTGATTTTACTCAGGGTAACTCATTAGTTTACGAATAAGCTTGTTATTGCTATACAAAAATGTATGAAGAAGTCAAGCTCCGATTTTTAAAAGACTACGAAGTCTCTGGCTATAGTTAAAATTTTAACGCAATTAGCGAAAATTAACTAACCCATTATCCGACCAAAATAATCTTAATCTAAGGCAACGTGAGTAAAACTAATAAAACTAGTGTCAACCAGCTGAGCCAAGCATAATCTAACACAAGCAACATTGTCTAAACAAGCCCAATCTAATTAACGTGTTAATCCAGATCTAACAAGAACCTAATCTATCCTAAGCTTAGCTATATGCCAAACACAAGAAGAGTAATTAACGCAATAAGTGTTTACTGCTTGTTTACATGATTTTCTATATCTAAATGGTGCGCTGATTACCGGAGATGAGATCCAACCTAAGTACCCTAGAAACGCAGCCGTATTTTAACCGTTGCCGTACACCGCATGAAATATTAAAAAGTACAACGAAAAAGTGTCGTTAACTTTCTGAAATTTACATTTTACGCCACGGTTTTAAGTAATAACTGGACTGCATTACTTTATGCAGATTCCCATCTGCATAGATTATTTCACAAAAATCCGAATAAGAGGAAATTTTCTTTTGTGCGGAAAGAGTCTCTCGGCTGTGACAGACCCGAAGATGCCGTGAACGCATAAAAAAATCTGTAGTAACATCAGCTTAAGGACAATTACTCATGTAACAGGTTGCAACTGCATTTCGTAAATCTGCTCGAGGGATAATTCAAAAACTGAATTAAACGCGAAATCCTGAATATGGCTCATTCGGTTCGTTACAAGCAGACCGTGAATAAACACGGAACCTAAAAATGGAAAATAAAAATTGTTCGCATGAACTGCAAGATACAAGAACCGAGTGCAATCTTTTCTACTCCCTAAATAATTCTAATAATTTAATTTTAAAAGTTTCTTTTATAATCTCTTCACTATATCATATTTAAACTACCTGCTTCATGCCAGAACCAACATTTTAGCTATTACTTTTTCATCGATAACATTTTTCTTCGACAACGTAGAATCGATATTTCTGATCGGGAGACATCGTCTTCTCCTAAACGTTAGCAGTTTTTAATTTCGAATGGTTCTTCTGCCGGTTGATCAAAACGAGCTATCCATCTTTAAGAAAATTGTTCGTTCGTTCCATTCGCTCGGCCACGAACATCTCGCTCTCGAATAAACAAACAATCGAATTCGATTAGAAACAAAATACTTCCTCACAGTTTAAGACTGCATCTATCCGTCCCAAAGAACTATACTCCCCCATCGCCGATACTTCTCTAGAGAAAAAATTCCCAACGATCACCATCGATACTTGTCACACGAGAATCCTCCGCGAAGCTTTTGTTCCCCGCGAACAAAGTACAAAACATACGACTCGAATAGCGAACGTGCTAAAGGCGGCGCCGCGTAACCGAGCATCCCCTGAAAAGAAAGCTAGTCTCCATTGGTTACCGTCGCTTCTCGGCCTGTTTATCCGGTTTAAGCGGGCGCCGTCGCGCGCAACGGATTACTCTCGGCGGTACACCTAATAACCTAATAACCAACAGCCAGCAAAGTACAAGCTCGATCATTCCGGGAGTTGTTGAAACGCGTGGCGCGCGGGCTTGCGGAAAGGGTAGCTGCGGGGGTGAGTCGAGGATCGGTTGCGTCTTGCGGGAGCCGGCGGAATTCACAGACTCTGTTCCGCGCTGGTTATATACCAAACCCGTACTCGTCGATCGTTGATGTACCAGGTGAGATTGGCCGCGGGTTTGCTCCGTCCGGATGTGCAGTTCAAACGTAACATATCGTCAATCCGGTATTTCCTCCTTAACCCGTGTATCGACGGCCCTTGAGAGGGTAATTCTGCGGAACAAGAGACGGCCGGGTATACAGGTATGGAGGGGGGAGGGGGCCGGAAGTATGCGAGGCATGCTCGAAACACCGCTTTGACGTTCGCTGGCCTGCCCGCCGTGCACGTATTGCACGAAAAGGGAGGGAAAACTTTTCAAGATTCCCGGATACGCCGACATACCGATACACGCTCTTTCTCTCTCTCTCCCTCTCTCTCTCCCCCTTTCTCTCTTCCCTCCCCACCCTCTCGCGCTCTTTCTTTATCTCCCTCTATCTTTGATACGGATTCACTCTCTTTCTCTCCGCGAGCCTGATGAAAAATTCTTCTTTTATGCCTGGCAATTCGCGCTCGCGTTTCGATATCGGAGTAATGTATTCATAAGAGGGACACCATTGTCCCGGATTCTTTCAGTCGGCGAGCCGCGTCTAGCGCCCGCTGCGCCAAATATTTTGCCGATCCGTGTGTATCCGAACCGTGCGTTTGATATTTCCGCCCCTCCCCCCGTTACCCAGCCCGTTCTCCCGTGTCTCTGTTCGCCGTATCTCCTGTTCGACTCTTTTCCCGGGCTCCGGTTCTTTGGTCGCGTGTAACCCGCGTATCGGCAGAGAAATTCACGCGCGCGCGATCAGCATAGTGACTGTGGTATAGTCAAACGACCGAGCCCCGGGACCGTCTGACGGTTCTTGGCCCGCGAACTTCGTTCTCGGCGAACGGATAACGCGAGAGAGAAGGAAAGAGGGTGAGAGAGAGTGAGAGAAAGTGAGAGAGAGAGAAGGAGAGACCGGTTTCGGTTTGCGGAAGGATCCGCTCGCGCGCCCATCCCGTCCTATCCCATCGCTTTTATGATCCGTAAGAGCCTCTTCAAGCTGCCTGTTTTCGTTCCTCGTTTTTCCTCTCTCTCTCTCTCCCTCCGCATCCCCCTTTTCTCCTGTTTTCTCCTTTCCCTTTCGCCCCGTTTCCCGACCGCCACCCGCTCCTCGTTTCGACTTCTATGTAAAACATCCGAGCGACTACCGCAAGCATTCATCGGAGAACAAACACGGCGAAAAATACACGAGAACCTTTTCCCTCCCGTAAAAACAAGAAGCATCCTACGTTGATAAAACGAGGAAACCCACCCCTTATATATACCTTTTTATCCCCACCTGCCTCTCCCTCTGCTCGGACCCCGTCGCGTCATCTCCCTCTCTCTCTCTCTCTCTCTTTCTCGCGTCGTCCACTTTTCCGGCGTGCATGGACAAGATTATACGACTGTTCTCCCGGAATTTCGGATTTGTTAACAGCGGAACAGAATGCGCAAGATTTCGAGGGGCCCTCCTCTTCCGAGCGTTCTCTTCCGAGTGTGCCGGGTTTTTTTCTCGGTATTGTGTTCGTAATAAAAATTGTAGGTGCACGAAACGCGCGGGCGTTTTATCAAAATACCGCCGCGGCCCGCCGGCGATCGCCAGGAAACTCCATATTCCTGTCTCCGGAAATTTCCGCCGCGTAATTTCTCTGGCTGACCGTAAAATGTCGCGGGAATTCCGCAGCGGTATCATGCCGGCCTCGCGGAACCCAGGGACGCCGAGGCCTCGAGAAACGAAAATTAAGGATCGCTCGCCGATGGAACTCTTTCCCGCTCCGAGTTACCCGTTCCGGAGATTTTTCCATCCGAGTTTTCGAATCGAGAATCGCACGAGAAAAGTTTTCGTGTCCCCCATCTCTCTCTCTCTCTCTCTCTCTCTCTCTCTCTCTGTCCTCTCCCTGTCTCTTATACACATCTAGATGTGTATAAGAGACAGCTCTCTCTCTCTCTCTCTCTCTGTCCTCTCCCTGTCTCTTATACACATCTAGATGTGTATAAGAGACAGCTCTCTCTCTCTCTCTCTCTCTGTCCTCTCCCTGTCTCTTATACACATCTAGATGTGTATAAGAGACAGCTCTCTCTCTCTCTCTCTCTCTGTCCTCTCCCTGTCTCTTATACACATCTAGATGTGTATAAGAGACAGCTCTCTCTCTCTCTCTCTCTCTGTCCTCTCCCTGTCTCTTATACACATCTAGATGTGTATAAGAGACAGCTCTCTCTCTCTCTCTCTCTCTGTCCTCTCCCTGTCTCTTATACACATCTAGATGTGTATAAGAGACAGCTCTCTCTCTCTCTCTCTCTCTGTCCTCTCCCTGTCTCTTATACACATCTAGATGTGTATAAGAGACAGCTCTCTCTCTCTCTCTCTCTCTGTCCTCTCCCTGTCTCTTATACACATCTAGATGTGTATAAGAGACAGCTCTCTCTCTCTCTCTCTCTCTGTCCTCTCCCTGTCTCTTATACACATCTAGATGTGTATAAGAGACAGCTCTCTCTCTCTCTCTCTCTCTGTCCTCTCCCTGTCTCTTATACACATCTAGATGTGTATAAGAGACAGCTCTCTCTCTCTCTCTCTCTCTCTCTCTCTCTCTCTGTCCTCTCCGCTTCCCCGACACGGTCTCTACCGGCGCTGGTTTGATACGCGACGGTCTGATTCGCGCGAACATAAGTATATTCCCATAACGCGAGACACCGCGCGCGAAGCGAGAAATTGGAAACGTTCTGCCCTGAGAGAACGCGGCCTCCACGGCGTCGCGACGCGCGTTATCGTTTCCGCGGATGGCCGTAGTTTCGATTTAAATATCGCGCCGCTTGTAAAGCAGATTTTTATCTACGCATTTCTCGCCATCCGCGAGTTACTCCACGCTGCGAATTTATTTCGGAGCACAACGTCGCACGATAAAATCGCGGCGTTCCGAGGAAAGCCAGTTGGTATTATTTGTCATCCTTCGATTGCTTTCTTTTGACTTGTGGACTATTTACGCACGATTGCTGTTTAGCATGCTCGGAGTACCGCGTGTTCACAATTTTTACTTGACTCTTGGCAGCCGGAATTCAGGCCGTTTGTGTTTCGTTGGTTATGATCAAATTGTCTCCCTCTGCGAGGAGCGTATGCTGAATCACGTCTAGAACGTCTGAAACGTCTCGTTTTCTATATTTTTATCATTTTGCATTCTTGTGCAACGGTAAACGTAATGTTGTTGGAAATATGCTGGACTTCGACCGCCAGGAATTAATGTTTTATGCAGCGCAAGCCTATTGATAGGATTTTCAATTGTGTTGTACTAATTGTAAGAGGAATTTTAAAGCACTTTTTATACATAACAATACCAAACGAAATTATTAGATTACGTTCATGGAGATGGCTTGTTGGTACACGACTGATATTACTGTTCCAATTGAACAATTCGTTAAGAAGTTCTTGACTGTAAATTGTGGACTCTCAAAAATCATGAAATCATAAATAAATAGATATTTATTTCGAAGTCAGATTATGCTTTGAAAGAGTGGAAATTGAAGGACCAAGATCCTTGTAACTGTGAAAGATTGAGACTTCGATTTTGAGACGATAAATTTATTTTATTGTTTAAAAGTGGAACAATGTGCCGAACACTGGAAACCTTTTTAAAGGATAAACGAATTGAACTCGATATGGAGCGAAATAATTTTTACCACCGAAAAGAATGGAAAATCTACGGGAAAAACCGTGTGACATTTTTGAAAAAGTGGACTTGATACTGCCCCCGTGATTCAGATAAATATTTTACAATTCATTTTATTGGCTCGCGACTTCTCCGCAATCGGGGGCAACGACGTAACAGAAAAATGTTATTAAAAAACCAGGGAACAAAAGCCAAATTTTAATCCACGCGTATGCACACTCTCCTGTGGAAATAACTCCGTGCAAAGTGAATCGGGCATTAGTGGGATGGCAATAATCTATAAGAACCTTCGAAACTTGTAAATACAATAGAAACGGGAAATTATCCGTTAAGCTGAGCATCGATTTTAATAGCCAATCCGTGTTTAATCTTATTGTAGCCCATACTTGATGTTCCACGGGTAAACGTTTGTAAATGCAATCAATAAGTTTATTAACGAACTGATTACGAGTCAATGAAATTCAGGATTTCTTGTACCTCGTAAAATGATGGGTTCCATCGGCGCGGCGCGTGTTTTATGATCAACGCTGCCTTGTTCCCTTACTTTTTATTTAACGAGTCGGGAAGTATCAATCTTGATTTTAATAACACGAGCTTTATCACTCCTGTGTATTACGTGATTCATATTTTATTGATTTAGACCCCCGCACTAGCCGTAAACTAGACTTTATAGAGCACTTATTTCCCGCGCGAAATTACTCGATAACTTAAAAAATTTGTAAAAGTCGCGGTAACATATTTTCGGCATTCAGTAGAGTTTCATCGTGTTAATAATGCAGTTTCGCGTTACTATAGCATCTTTCTCGAGATCGTTGAATTTCAATTCCTTCATAAAAATCGTAATAACCGAATAAAAACCAGTGATTTCACGAGAAACTTTAATCCATCGTGATTGCAAACGACATCTTAATCATTTGAATCCTCAGTCATTTGAATCCATTTTCAGGCTTGTTGATATTAATGAACTATGCTTATTCGCGTCTTTTCTGATCCAGCGTGACGTTTACCCAGATCATGAGAATTTAAGATCTACTCAAATAATTAACGCAGCCATTGCAGAAAACTTTCGTTTCGCGCCAATACATCCAAAAACAATTTCTTTATTTCGGATGTTTTCATTTTATAGAAACAAAAAACACAACAAAATATTACGTGATTTACAACAAATAAGCCAAAAGAAATTAAAATATGTTCGGCAAATGGCTCACAAATTTATCCTATTTATATTAGTAATCAAGTATACCATGATTGCACTATGACAAAAGTGTATCATAATTACACTATCAACACTTTGACTGCCGCGTCACCCATGTGTGGGTGATATAATTATCTAACATCTAAAATTACCTTTCACACTGATCCATTATAACGTCTTAATTTCATCAAGATTCGCAAGAAGCAAGATTGTCGAAAAAGTAAAGTTAAAAAGTTGCAAGAGAGAGAGAGGTCTGCTTTGCAATTTTAATTTGTCCGAATGAAACGCTTTAAATTTATGAGATTTTTGAGGTTTTTGGCGCGGTCGTCGAGGCGTTAAGAGCGGGGAAAGTGGACATTTAATCCGAGGATCTGAATGTTCCAATTTAGACAGCGAATGCGTCGGCCGAATGACTTCGTGGGTCTTTCGATGGTGGCAATACGACGGGAAGTCGGCGAGTTAAGAAACGATTCCTGTCGTTCCCCGGCGATGGCGCCTATTAACTCGTTAATTACATTCCGCCGTAGCGATCTCTATTTACGAGTGGCCTCGAACGAGACGCGGCCGCGATTCAGAAATATTCCGCGTGGCGAAATTTATTGCTTCATCCCGGTCCCTTTGTCGCGCAGCTTAACCCAGACAAAAGGCGCGGATCCGAAGACTGTAATGGCGTCATAAAACGATCATTAAACCGGTATTCCTGCAGTCGGCTAAAATAGCAATTATATAATAGGTGGGCTACGGCGGAATGGTAATTCTCACTATTTGTTCGCCGGCCCGTTCGTCGCTTTCTTTGCCTCCATTCAGCTCGCAACAATGAAACGAGATGGTCCCGAATTTACGGGCTTCGCAGGCGGCCGCGTATTTACCGTACCAACAGCGTAAACGGGACGACATGGCGTGACACGGCCCGGCCCGACGCGACGCGACACAGCGGTGGCTGCGGCGTGGCGTCGCGGGACCAGCGTTGCAAACTGTCTTTAATCCACCCCGGGGCTTTGTTATTCGCCGCGCACCGCCGCGTTTCAGCTTTTCGCGCCGTATCGCCTCGTGATCTGTCATTAGCCGATAAATTAATGAGCGAGCGACGCGATGGCCGGCCGGCTGCCGAGTCGACGCACCTGCGAGGAGACACGCCTCGCGCCGCGGGCATCCCCTAATCGCCCCGAGCCGGTCGCCGCTCGGAAATCGAACGAAGAAAGGGGCTAAGAGATCGGGCAATCACGAGGGAACGAAGAAAAACACGGTTAACCTAATTCGACTTCCCCTAAAACACCTAATTCCCGTTCATTCCGCCGCGTGTACCCGCAGTATTATCTTCGGCTCGGTCCACAGCGATTCGCGTAAGCCCTTAAGTCCATCCAGGCCGTGGCTGGTATTAATTCGCAGTTCGAAACTGCGCGGCTCAAGTTTGAGAGGACCAGAGAGAGGGAGAGAGAGAGAGAGAGAGAGAGAGAGAGAGATGCGGAGAAGAGAATGCTGCCCAGGCCGCAGACTCGAACGCGACACGTTTTCGTATCGTTTGCACCGCCGCGGCGTAAAGTTCCGGCACGACTTAATAAACACGCTTGCTTCCCTTACCGACTACGTTCATGGTGGCGGAAACTATGTCCGTGTGGAAGGAAGGCGCGTCCGCCGATACCTCGCAGCTGTACGCGCCCGCTGCGTTCAGCTCCAAATTCGTCAGACTCAGCTGGGTCGAGTTGCTCTCGGTTTTCTGCAACAGAGTACCGATCGATTCGTCAGTGGCTTCCCGACTGACGAAACTGAAATAAACAGGATTAGCTACGGCCACCGGCTGCTCCCGATGATCTTCATCGAAACCAGCCAGACCCCCCGTTCACCCCGCGATCCCTCCTTTGTCGCTGCGATCTTACGAGGCAACGTATTCGAGCTACACGCCAATGGAACTTGTGTCAGAGATCATCCTTAAGCAAATCGTCGACGTTTGTCTGTCTCTGCGTTGTAGGAGCAAAGACAGTTCTCGAATTTTGGGATTGAAAGTCCCAATATTTGCGGTGTCGCGGAAACTGGAACGGAAACTTCGAAGGAATAATAAATAAGCAATAAGAAATAAGAAATAATGAATTGTTTGAATAATATACTACAATTACGAGATCATTTTTTAATGAATTCGTAGCATTATTGTAATTGGCTCGTTTAGCTTGAATAGAGATTATCTAATTCTCCAAATAAGTTTCTTAGCATTCGTTTAAACATTTGGATCACGTACTTAAAAATATTTTAGCAGATCTCTAGAATGTTTAACCGTTTGCGTACCAGATGGTTCTGAAAAAAACAGGATCGAAAAGCGCCGAAGAGCGCAATAGCGCTCCTTCGATTATGTGTCGAGAAAAGCCGTAAAACATAAAATAAAACGTTATGAATGAAAATATATGTACTATTAATTTATAGAATAGACTGACAGCGATGCGACGCGCGACGTATACATGCGTCTGAAAGACTGAGCACGTTTCGACAGATTTCGGGTGGGCCGTAAGTCGTCTGTTTCGGCCAAATGCCCTGGCTTTTCTCGACACAAAATCTGAAGAGCGCAAAAGTGGTTCGTGGTACGCAAACGGTTAAGAAGGCTCCAATCTGCATATAATGCACATCATCGTTGCACGAACGATCCCCTCTTGATTTTCTCTAAGCAATGTACGCGCATCAAACGCGTTATGCGCAGGCTGAAAACGAAAATTTTTGTTCGAGGAACGAATAAAAGTCGAGATTGTTGAAAATTATTTAGCCGAGGCCGAATTCGGGACCGCGTTTCTGGGACGGTTAAAAAGGGATTCGCCGGTTTGATGCTGGGGAACTTGTGCAGACAGACGCGGGAACGCCGAGGAGAATGGCGCGTTTCCGGTTATAGCTGAGACCGAAATGCAGGTAGTATCCCAGCTTACAAAAGGTCAGTCTACACGACTGTTACTGAATTTAAGCAAAGGTTAAGAGGTCCTGAGCACTGGGTGAGGTCAGCTTTTCACCGGGTGAAAAGACGGACCGCATTCATTTAGGGAAACTGTGCTTACGCGCATTATTTGGAAAATATAAAAGCTACTTAAAAACCGCGGGTCGAAGGAGTTTCGCAGCTGACCGAGCACCGCCAGCTTCAATTCATGACTTCTGCTCGTTTTTGTTCGGCGGAGTTCCCGTGTATGCCGGAAAAAGTCTCCTCCGGACCTTTCCGGTTGGTAGAATTAGTACTTGCTCATGCTGTGCAATTTTGCTGAAAAATAAACGCCATTGCACAGAATGTGGAAGGTACTCTGACACGAGCTTTTTTGGCGAGGCGTGTTCGCGAAGCTGGGTTCGTTAAATATCAGATCGTCGATCTGCTTTATCCGCGAGAACTTGGAGATTTTGGATTCTTCAAATTAACATACTCGAGCAAACTGAATTTCACGTTTAGAACACAAAAGAGTTAAACCAGTATTTACCACGGTAAATTTTAACCGTCTAGATTCGACTTCGTCGATTAATTTACGTCGCTTCTGCGAGAATTTTAGGGGTTGATCGTCGGCACGCGACGCGTTAAAAGCAAAAACCACCGCGCTATTCGCCTAACATCTCAAATAAAGGAGCATCGCGATGACTCAGCGTGTGCAAGCACATCGCGAGCAATATTATCTACCGTGCAATGATGCAGATCATACCGGCATTTTGACCGGCGTCTTTTTCGGCGAGCCTTCGATACGCTTTTGGCACCATGGATTTATGACGTTGTCGCGGCGCGGGCTGTCCGAAAAAAAGGAAGCGGCGTCGGCGTCGGCGTCGGAGTCGGCGTCAGGGGAGAGCGGCCCGCTTGTATGGGTGTGTACGTGTGCGGGGTGTGCTGCGTGGTTAGCGAGCATCGATCAATCGACCGGAAGACAAAGACCCGCGGCCGATTCGCATTGTTCCGCCGGGCAGCGGAACGGCCGTTGAATAATCCACGGTTGCGAAGACGGCAAACTGGACCAGCGTTCGCCTCTTCGCGATATCGATTCGGAAAATGACGGCGTTGCAGCCAGTCACAGTCACAGTCAGAGTCGCTGTTCGAGCCAACAACGGCAGTGGCAGCGACGACGACGTCGACGACGGCGGCGTCAGCTAGTCAGCCAGCCACCCCTCTGGCGCAGGGGAGCTTCACGGTCTCGCGGAATACACGCCGGCCCCCCCGGCGCAGTTTACGAGCAACATTACGCTCCGTAACGGCGTCCCGTCGGCCAGTTCCGCAGAATTCCGCGACGCGTTGCGCGATTTATTCGCTCGCGAGCCCCGCAGCTCGCCGCGCGCACACCGTGCACGGAAAACCGACGGCCTCTTTCTCGCCCCGCGGAGAATTCTGTCGCGTACACGCGCTGCCGGCCAATAGCGCGCGACTCGGTAAGCAACATCGTTCCGGCAAGGATTTAATACTAAGCCCGGAAAAGCAATTTTGCGCCGGTGTTACTTTTCCCTATTGTTTTTATTCTTGTTGCCCTGTTCTTTCTTTTTTTTCGTAATTTTCTAACGCGCCTTTTTCGGAAAGCGTGCGGAAGGGGGGTGATGGGGGTAGAGGGCGCGTCCAAGGGGGAGAGAGCGAAAATAACGAGACACTCGCATGGTAAACGAAGGATTATGGAAAGCTTTCGCGGAATATTGCGGCCTGACCGGGGACATGCGCCCGCCGGGGGGGAAGGGGTCGTTACCCTGGAAATTCCTGTTTCCGAGGGAATTTTTAGTTTTATTTTCCTTTCTTTTTTTCGCGCAACGGATTGTCCGGAATTGACGGATTCTATGAGATACGCTCGCGGATTTCGCCGGCGCGCGCTCGATGTTTTATTTATCACGCGAATTTTCATATTAATCCGGTGATCTGCTTTATTCTTGAGATGAGTGATTGTTAATTAAACGTAGTAGAACCGACGCGGGAATCCCGGGGCTCGCCGGTTACGCGTGACAATTCCCGATCGATGAATCGGCCCGAAATTGCGGCGTGCAGCCAGTCAAGTTTTTTCGGCTGGAAACCGGCTGTCGTTTGACCGGCAAGATTGATTTTATGAGTTCGCCGAGTCGACCCGATACGAAATTCGTGTCTGACGTGAACTGCAACCGTGTGGACAGAGGCTGATGATGTAAAAAAAAGCTGGTGTTTGCGAAAGAATTCTGAGAAAGTTACGTCTTTCGTCGCATAGCTGGAGTAGCAGTTGATTACTGTATTAGATTATCAACTTCAGTCTTGTTTATGCAATGTTGACAGTGACAACGATATATATTTTATATTAGGGACACTGTGTGTCCTGACATTTGTTCTCCCTTTTTTTGAATACTATACAAAATCGCACAAGTTAGAAAGAACAGCCAGAAACTCAAACTTTCGTAGGTAGAAAACGCCTGTGTAATTGGTTCTTAGAGGAGCTTAGTTTCATTTTGTTTAGGAACTGAAAGAGAACCAGAATGTTGTGGTCGAAGCTGTTGCGAACAACAGCTCCGGGACGACGTTTTCTTCTGGCTCGGTGTTTTCTTTCAACACAGAACAATTTATGCAACATTGTGCCGATGCACATAGATACAAGATCGCTAGAAGTTGATTTTATTATTTTTCGATTTTGTGTGAAAACATATAAGCTTCGATCACAAGGTGAGTCGAATGTAAAAAAGACGAAGACCTAAAATTACCAACTACTGCCTAAACCATCACTGTATCTTAACACTATGCCGTCCGGTGGCACCACGCTGGTGCCATACAAAAACTATCTGTTGTATGCCGGTGGTATCACTTTTGTGCCATTTTAAAAATCTGAGATATATTTCTTGGGTGTTAAAAGGCAGCAAACTAACTATAGCATTGTGCTTATTTAACTAAGAATTAAGTACGAAAATTCTTGGATGACTTATCTTAATGTTAGGAATTTATATTACCGCCATCTTCGAAATTTTTTTTAAAATCTAAAATTTCCTAGCTATTATGCCGGCGTCAAACAAAAGAATCGTATCTAAGATCTGCGGACGGCATAGTGTTAAGTAGACCTATTACGATTATATGAATAACGTAATTAATATAAATAACATAAAATTTCCTACAAAAATGTAACATTGAAGATTTTGCAGAAGCAAGTTGACGAAAAATGCGCGCGAAAGTATTCGTCGTTAAATTAGGAAATGAAATTAGGGAAAGCAGAGGACTTAGCGAGCATGGAAAATTTATAGCAACTGCTGCTACTTATAGGGAACTTCTTCGATATTCCGAAGGAGCACTGACATGGCCGCAAGGAGGTACCTATAGGTGTACGTATAATGGGCTTCTTATTAATTCCGAGCGCGAGAGGATCAATATGAAATTCATTAGAGGCGACCAATCAAATTAGTTCCACGAATCCCGCGTAATTACTATAATAATTCTGCTACAATAATCACAGGGCTAACGACCATCGGAACAACATCAAATTAGCATCGCGTCAAGAATATACATCAGACACTTCGGTGGCGTTGTTCCAGTGACGCGGTCTGTATTTAAACCCGAGCGCTCTCGTCATTCCGATTACTTTATTGAACGTGCACACGGGGATTGGCATTGAATACGCTTGCCCTTTAACTCGTTCGTAGAATGTACAGNATATATTTCTTGGGTGTTAAAAGGCAGCAAACTAACTATAGCATTGTGCTTATTTAACTAAGAATTAAGTACGAAAATTCTTGGATGACTTATCTTAATGTTAGGAATTTATATTACCGCCATCTTCGAAATTTTTTTTAAAATCTAAAATTTCCTAGCTATTATGCCGGCGTCAAACAAAAGAATCGTATCTAAGATCTGCGGACGGCATAGTGTTAAGTAGACCTATTACGATTATATGAATAACGTAATTAATATAAATAACATAAAATTTCCTACAAAAATGTAACATTGAAGATTTTGCAGAAGCAAGTTGACGAAAAATGCGCGCGAAAGTATTCGTCGTTAAATTAGGAAATGAAATTAGGGAAAGCAGAGGACTTAGCGAGCATGGAAAATTTATAGCAACTGCTGCTACTTATAGGGAACTTCTTCGATATTCCGAAGGAGCACTGACATGGCCGCAAGGAGGTACCTATAGGTGTACGTATAATGGGCTTCTTATTAATTCCGAGCGCGAGAGGATCAATATGAAATTCATTAGAGGCGACCAATCAAATTAGTTCCACGAATCCCGCGTAATTACTATAATAATTCTGCTACAATAATCACAGGGCTAACGACCATCGGAACAACATCAAATTAGCATCGCGTCAAGAATATACATCAGACACTTCGGTGGCGTTGTTCCAGTGACGCGGTCTGTATTTAAACCCGAGCGCTCTCGTCATTCCGATTACTTTATTGAACGTGCACACGGGGATTGGCATTGAATACGCTTGCCCTTTAACTCGTTCGTAGAATGTACAGCCTTCTAACGAGCTAATCGACATCGACCAAACGGAGGATAAGTTTCATTTATCTACGGAACAGTCCGAGAACCTCGTTCTTCCAATCGATACTTCATACATTGTCAGAGGAGCGACCTTTCACTGGCATTTACTTTAAAAAGCATCACCGTTAAATCTGCATAATTTTTTGCTCTATAGAATTTATTTTCTCGATATTTTTTCCTGGCGAACACGTAAATCCTGTATGCTAAAAATAATCCGGTTGAAGACATTTCATACCGGGTAAGTGTGTCAATTACTGTGCCAACACCTGGTTACTGCGCTCTCGCAATAATTTTACTAATATTTAGAAAAGAACATTACTAAATTAAAGATATTGAATTTTTTCAATAAAATGCCGAAACTAATTTTTTAAATTTCTGATTCAAGATTTGATGCGTTTTCGTTGCAAATAAAGATATATGAAAACAATACAAAAATGATGCTTTCCAAAACGAGAGAATCGATTATTGTATTTACAAAGCTCCTCTAAATTACAGAAAAACAATAATATAATCGACTTACAAACGCACAGTATACTCGCTCAAAAATTGCTTTGTGCACTTTGTTAAATATTTCGCATTCTTAATATATTTCAATTACGAAAAAATTCGTAGTATTATACAAAAATAAAACATCAACATATAATTTAAACGTTTTATGAAGTACGGCATTATGTAGAACGTACTATTTAATTCGTCGAGAACTTCGGACGTTACTTCAGCACTGTAATTGACACACTTACCCCAGCGGCTATTTCTAGAAAGAAGGTGTCTTACACCGTTCGCAACGGTTCCGCAGACTTATTAAAAAAACCTGCATCCGCTGTCGCACCTGTAAATATAGCACCGACGAAGCTTCCCGGCCGCAACAGCCGTCTTTAACCATCGTTTTACCTTCGGTCTCGCCGAACTCGTCCGACGACTAACAATGTTTACGATGTCGGCGACGATAATGACAGAAGCGTCGCGGTAATCGATTCATCGGCGTCTCAAGGGCGGCATCTCCCCTAAACGCGCTCGGCTCCCCGGGGTCCTCGTAAAAAGCTCGAACGACTGCCGGCTTAATCGACGCCGGCGATTCCCTTTCTGATTTCCGCTCATTAGGCCGGCTCGGGTTCAGGTCCGAGACCCCCGAAGTTCCGTGGGGAACGGAACTCGGTATCTCGCCGCCATATTTCAGAAGAAACGTTCGGTTATTGTTCCATCCAACTTCCCGACCACGATAAATCCCCGGACGTTGGTCTTCCCGCAGCCGGCGGCGTTTTTTCGCCGTGGCGTCGGCGTCGGCGTCGGCGTCGGCGTCGGCGTCGGGCTCCTCACGAAAAAGATTCCCACGGAAGCTCGTCGACCGCCGAGCAGGAGCAGAGGAGATGGGAAGGATCGAGGGGGCGGGGGAGGTTGGGGCGAGAGAACGGCCAGAGAGAAGGACGGAAACTCGATGCTCACCTTCACCGTCAAGTTCCCGATGGGGAAAGTCTTGACGATCGGGGTCTCTTTCGGGGCGTAGCGATAAAACTCTCGACCCCCTTTGTACCACTTGACGGCGTATAAAGGATCCCCCTCGGTGTCATACCAGCAGTTCAGTATCGCCGAGTCACCTTTCTTCACGGCCGTCGGTATCTGGATCCGCACTTCTCGTAAACCGGAGCAAATTCCTGCAACAGACAGGTGTTTCTATTTAGTGGCCGGCCTGCTCAACGACTTCGACTTTTCAGCCATCCCCTTCCAGCGAGCCGTAATTGAAAGATTCCGGCGGCTGAGTGACTCGCGGGGCGAACACTTTCGCTGTCGAAGAACGGTTTATTCGGAGTGAAAAAGTACGTAGCCGGCACACGGTCGGGTGAATGAAGTTATGTCAAAATCAAAGAACTTGAGATAAACCGATGATCTTTTCTTTCGCGTTGAAATGAACGCGAAGAACGAACATAATAGTATGAATGTTTTCTAACCCTGAAAATTTATATTAAATTGAAATATTCCAACAAAATTGTGATCTACCCAATACAATGTACAGTTGGATTTTTTATGACATGCATCGTTTCCCGTACATTTTGACACGTTGATTTCAAATTCGTTCGTAAAATTTGTCTATCGTTTTAGGCTTTTGAAAAAATATATCAATGGGTTATCAAGTCGTTTCAACGAAAATATCACAATTTCGTTAGTTTTTTCTTTAAATTGATTTTTTCGAAGCAAATTGACACACGAGGCCCTTTTTCCCTAATAAACGTTGCCACATAAATTATTGCCTCGTAAAGTCTGAGATAAAATTTCCTAAAAATAGCATTGGATGGGAGTTCCCAAGAAGGGACGGGGTTAATATTTTAGTCGATCACTTCGAAAGATCTCATTTTAATCGAGGCAGTTAATATTAAATAGGGTGCGTATAAATTTTTATCTCAGAATTTATTTGACAGATTTAGGACGATCTTTTCCGTCTATTGCGATATCTTTATCAAATACATTATAAATATTGGAGATTGTAGATTAATTCCAACAGCGTGAAATTCTCCTTGGAAATGATTTGTTTGAAATTCAAAGAAAATAAAGTTCATATTACGAAATGCTCAACTTAGAGTTACAATATTTTCCAAATAATTGTAATATATAATATATGTATATATTAATGTAATAATATACACAATATAATTTGCATAGATGTCTCGTGAATTAACTGCAATAAATAGAAATATGTATATCGAAAAACGAGAAATGGAATTAATTATGCGAAAAAATCGATTCGAAAAATCTAATAGAAATCTAATAAAGAATACTACTGCTTTGTACCAGTGAACCGACTATTAAAGGAATGAAGTCAACATGCTTGCTAAATGCCCGATGAAAGAAACATTACCAATTTATTTCCGAAATGTATTTAATCCGGCGAATGTACGAATTTATTTCAAACGCGTTTCCACGGTAAAGGGGTTAAAGAGCATTTTATCGGGAATATCATGTAAAGTGAAAGGGTACGTTTAATACGAATCGCTTTAGTAATGATCGAATTCGAAATATTTTAATTTTCTAGCGTCATGTAATATTAAAATATTATTTCCAGCGGAGCTCGCTGCTGAGAAAGCGGTGTTGCAGATGAAAAAAAAAAGTTGCATAGTTGCGGGCACGTTTCTTTTAATGCCGCGCCGTTGTTCGTGGCGCACTAATTATCAGCGAGAAGCTATTAGGTTACTTGCACAAAAAACTATTAGTTTAGAGGATATTCAAACTCCAACTTTACAAAGTTGTGCCACTGTTTACCGAAGTAATTACACGTGCTCTCTCATACACGCGCGTTCCCCGTGCAGTGCAAACTTTACGGCAAAATATACCTTTTATGGTAATTGTTTTATTTGCACAAGTATTCATGCTTGTCCCCGTTGGGGATGAAAATCTACGGTACCGTGGCATTCTATTTTGTTCGTGCGTGCTCGCCCGCGATATAATCCTTTGCCGTTCCCAAGCTTTTTAACTGTTTATCCCGAAATTCGCATTGAACTACAGTACAAAATCCCGATCCCAATTTATTCACACCTCAACCCTTGTACAGCCCTTGCTTAAAATCACGTGGACTGTCCTCCTGATCATTTTTTACCGTTTGCACTGCGTCACAGAGACTCGTTCGAAACGGACATAGTTATTCATCGATAGCAACCGTAAAAATAACCATTTCCTCCTAAAAACTCTTCTTTAAATATTAAATTGAGCACTTTTTAAATTAAAGATTTTTCGGTCAATGGAATCTTATACCAAACTCTATTTAAAAAGAGCAATAATTTCCAATCATTTCATATTTTACTCGAAGCGTTACTTATTATTTTACGAACAAATACGTTCCAAGTCCTCGAAGCTAATCTGATCGTGAGACAATTCTCCGAGTGCAAAGGTTTAAATATTGATGACGAAAGAACTGAATTTTATTCCGATTTAAAACCACGGAATAATGTTCATGCTCAGCAACTTAATACAAGAAATCTCCATTAGTTTATTTAATTAGAATGTTAAAAAATGACCTTTTGCAATTGTGAGAAAAGTGGGGCACAGTAATCGGGTAATTTATTTTGAATTCCACATAGTGGTCACTTGTGATTACGAAAAGCAACGTAACAATTTCTTCAACGTGAAAACTAAAGAACATTTTTGTGTTAACATTTCTCGACGAGGATAAATAAGCTGTATGCTGCAATCTGAAGTAGACTGTTCGCCAAGAACTTGTCACGCGTTAAAAATGAACCGACAAAAAGGACGGTGCAAGTGTCAAATTTGTTTCAGGGCGTAGTTCGGCCACTCGGTGTCACGTTGGCAAAAAGGACTATTAATTCGGAGCGGTCTGAGCAGCCTAGCGGCACGGAATTACCGGCGGATAGACATAAACAAAGGCAGGCCAATTCAGATGTCTCTAGCAAAGACCAACAATTCTTGAACAGACTGACCAACTCCTCGGTCCAGGCGGTTCTCGTGAACTACATAGCACAGGCTCGAAACCGTGGGTTCCGTTTGGTCGAAAACTTCAGGTGCTTTTTAGCACCACTCGAGTCGCACTTGAAACACGCAAACACCTGCGCAATTTCTTTCAGCGCTATCATTCATACCTATGAAAACTTAAGGGGGTTAGTTTTATGTCTTCGCGGGGAAACGGTAACTTTGGGAGCTACCTCGGAAGAGAAACGCCCGGCGCATTAAAACGAAATCCCTCGTGAGGTGTGCGCTCGTGATTGCTAGCAAGCGACTCGCTTATCGAAGGTGAAATGAATTTACAGAAACGTTACAACGTTATTGGGAAAGAAGCTCGATGATCGATACGTCGCTAAATGGCGTATTTTTGCCCAATTTCGCTGGCCGAAATTATTTTCCTTACTTAACGTGACTAAAACGTGACAATAAAATAGTGTAAATTGCTGATAACTACAAAAAAATTGTCTGTAAAAAAGCAACAAAATTACGTATAATCGATCCTGATCCAATATTATAATCGATCCTGATAACCGAACGATATTTTAGAAACGGGCGAAGAGAAAAATGATTACTGCAAAAGTGTTTACTTTCAAACATAAATAAAAATCTAATACTATTGTTGATATATTCCAATAGCTCAGACAACCAAAATTTTGTATCTTACACAAGATTTGAACAATTGTATTTTGGCCATCTTTTGGGACCTAATACTTCACTGTGCGTCGACAAGACGGCGGCGGGCGACACGCGCGAAATTTTCAAGATTTCTCGATATCGCATAAAGTCCAACCGATAGCGTCCGATAATAAATCAATTATGAATGAAATCTGAACGGTGTATCGGACACCGAACAACGCCTACTAGAAAGTTGCTGGATGGATACGAGTATTATATAATTAACTGTCGGCGGATTTTTGCAGCGGCGCACCGTTGCCCGTTCAGCTTGGTAATTGTCAAACAATGTCGCTAGTTGCCTTTTATTGTAGTTTCAATAACACTTTGGCGATATCTGTATAACTCAGGGATTCTGTTCATTAAAGTTTCCAATTCTCAACTCCCGGAACACTTGAACGAGCCTCGGTAAGTGGTAGTTGTTTTCGAATCTGCTCCGGCATTCAAGCGAAATTGGGGGAGAAAGAATTGGACGAGAGAGAAAAGAAGAAATCGTCAACGTTCCTGCTGACGACTTGGACAGCTAAATTGATAGGAGTTCTGTCTGGCAAACAAACGGTTCGACTGTCAATTGCGATTCCCCCCACCCACTCCCCCTCATTCCGCGGGGGAAACCGTCCAAAGACATTTTCGCGATTGCTCCTCGAAAATATTTTTGCTCCCGACCGCGCGCTGTAATATCGGGCTGAATTTTTCAGCCGCGATACGTGCCGAACGCTTTGCCCGTTTTCATTTAAAAATAAAACACGTTCCATTAATATTAATAGCCGTATCGAAGTGGCTTTGATTATTCATTCGGAGCGAATTATTTCGGAAAATCTGAGTTGCTAGGACAATGTGTGTTCTTCCGCGTTTCGAACATATTGTACTTTGTTCGTTCATAAAATGGTGCTTTTCGAATCTATTTTCGAAGTGGCTACGATTGTTCGTTCAGAGCGCTGTAGATATTTCTAAAAAAACTCTGCATTGCAAGGGCAATACATGTGTCCTTTCGCGTTTCAAACTCATTTTGTTCGTCCATAAAATGGTACTTTTCTAATATGTTTTCTTGAATAATGGAAACTCGTGGGAGCAAAATACTCTCAGAGAAGAGGCCACTTTGTATTCGAAATTGTTAATTCGATGAGAATTCAACGCTAATTGGTTTCGATATATTACAATAATTATTATATTCATGCAGAGTATTTGTATTTTGCATAAATTCGTACGCGATGAGAAAGACGATTCCTTGTCTGTTCAAAATGAAAACATTTGGTCGTTCCTTTACGACTACGAAGCGTCAGAATAACACTTCACAGAACACTACCATACGAACCAATAATATATGCGACGGCAGCCAGTAAACCGTATATTCGGCACTACGTGCTTTCAATGTTGGAAAAACCGTGACCGAAGCCACTCAAATGGTTTGTGATTTCTGTGGCGAAGGAACTGTGACTGATAGCTTATTCGCCTGACGTGACTCCATTTGATTACCATTTGCTCAGCTTGCTGGGACACTATTTAACAGACTCATGCTCCAAATCGTTTCAAG